AACCAGTGGAACAGCTTGCCTTTAGACGACATGGATGCTTCATCATTGAAGGTGTTTAAGAAAAGACTGGACAGTCACTTATCTGAAATGGTATAGGATTTCCTGCTTGAGCAGGGCCCTCCAAGGTCCCTTCCAGCTCTGTTCTGATTCTGATTCTGATTTACCAACTAATATCAAGATTCATAATTAGCAAATTAGTGTGTGTTTAATATTCCTATTTATGTATTTACAAAATACTAATTTCCTCAGAATATCATCAGATATACAGAACTGAGAGTCCATATCTCATCTCAATGAACCAAGTAAATTTCAGAAAGTTTGAAAAACCTACTATTCTATCTCACTAAGTGTTGATTTAATTGTTGCAGGGAAAGAGCAAATCTGGAGGCAATTGGTGATGGATAACTAATTGCATGTTTTGTTACACATCATGTGACTAATAATACATTAGTAACCTCTTGAAAAGAAACTGACTACTAATGTAGACTACTATTAGTCTTTCTCATTATAATTATAAACTTCAGTCTTATTTCTCCGTGGTCCAGATGAACTTAATTAAAGTTGCACATGTTGTATATAGGGCATAAAAGAGTATCTTTCTAATGCTAACAGCCATATGGTAATAGCTAGGTAGTAAATAAAACCTTGACTATTAAAATATCAATTAACATAAAATCATAGAACCAAGCAAAATAAGAAGTATTTTTTCTGCTCTGGAATACAATTAATTGCTTGGCTATTGTGAAATTACATAGTATGAACAGATTGCCTTTCAAAGACACACTATATTCTACATGCTAATGGTTGAATAATCATAGAAAATATAATGGACAAGAGGCAAGTCTGAAACCCAAAGAACAAAATGAGAAGTTCCAACTAAAGGAAGAAGACTGTATTCTAACTGAACCCAGTTAAGAACAAATAATGAACTTGACCAATGGCGACATGTCATGCATAGGGGGGGAAAAACTGAAAACAATGTCTGTGCAGTCCAAGCCAGACCAATCCAATCTGACTACAGTTGAGCATTTAATTTCATATCCACTCCCTGGAAGAAAGTGTGCAGACATCTGAAGAAGAGATATCAAGTGTATTGGTGATAAGAAGAAAATTAGAGACCAAAGTTCCCCAAAGAAAAAATAGGCATGTGTAGCTGACAGAAGACTCACTTCTCAGAGGAATGGAATCAGCAACTTGTAGACTGGATAATCAATCTAGGGAAGTATACTGTCTTCCAGAAACAAAGATCAAAGATGTGATGAATGATTTACTACAATAATTAATTATTAATTATCATTTCTTCCTCCTTTATGTCGGGATGAATGATACAACAAAGAGCCTGAAAACAATATCAAGCAATTATGAGCAGCTAGGTATGAAAGCTAAAGAGCAAGGAACACAAATGGTGTTTTCATTTGTTCTTCCAATGGAAGGTCAACATCCAATAAGGGAATGGAGAATTTTAGAAGTAAACCTCTATCTTAAGGTATAGTGCCATTGAGAGAATTTTGGATTCCTAGACCATCACGGCTTTTCAACCTTTTCACAGATTGTACCACTTTTAGGACATGACAATATTTGAGTACCACCAGTGCTTAGCAAAGTGTCAAAAATTTGATGACTAAAAAAAGGGGGTTACTGATTAGATTCATTTGTTGTTATAGAAATGACTAGTTTATAATATTATGGAAAAGTAAAAAGCTGAGATTCAATGTTAATGCTTCTTTCTACAGCAACAGAGGAAGCCTGTTCTTTTTCCCTTCTCCCCCTCACTTTCCCCCCTTTTCCTCCCCACTGTGTCCTACTATTTGCTTTTGTATTTTTGTATTTTATTCTATAATCTAATAAAATATTACTAATTGTAGAAAAAAAGGGAAAAAAGTACCAGTTTTAATTTCTTTGGTGGCTGTTCCTTTGCTGAATCAAATTCCCTTTGCACTGACAAATGTATGATGAATTAATCCATGTTTATTAATATGCATCACTACCAGCTAGCTCAGGAATCTTCAAACTTGGCACTTTTAAGACTTGTAGTCTTCACTCCCAGAATTCCTCAGCCATCATGGCTGGATGAGGAATTCTGGGAGTTAAAGTCCACAGGTCTTAAAGTTGCTAGCTGGTCAGCCCTTCTTCCTCTCTCCCTTCTGAGCCCTTTGCACAGTGTAGTAAGAATGCATACACACACACACCCATTTCTTCCCTGTACACTTAAAGACACAGGAATCAAGTGCAAACAAGAAAGGCTCACAAAATAAAGAAACACATAAACTCCTTTTTTTTCTTTAAGCTGCCTCAGGCGTATCACATGTCACAATGTTGCAACTTGAGAATGAAAGGCTCCGGCAATTATGAAAAGCTTTAGTCTTAAATTAAGCCTGTTTATCTTCAAAGAAAACTTTCTAAAAGCCATAGACAGACTCAAGATAAAGGGGTAAAACTGATTACATTTGTTTAGAGGGATTAAACCTACAGAAGTCAACACTTTGGACTCATTGCTATCCTAAAATACAGACTAAAATATTCCAATAACCAACGCACACAAACCGAGTCTCTGAATTACAAAATGCTGTAAAAACTGCACAAAAATCCTTATGGTAACCCAATCAAGCTGCCAGATGATCCAAACTAAATAAACCCACCTCCTTTTCGACATTGTGGCTTTTCATTTCATCAGCACTGATTGCATTCTTCTGGCTGGGGAAAATGAACCAGAGGACCTTTTATTTCAGCAACAGCTGCTGCTTCTTCCCTATCCCTGTTTCCTCCCTGCTTGCTGAGCTCTCCTTCTCTTTCCCTGTTGTCTTTTTTTTCCCTTTCCCACCCAAACCACTTCCTTTTATAGCCTCTCCTCTCCTCCTCCTCCCTTTTTCTTCAGTTCACCTCCAGCTCTGCACTGCTTCCAGAAGCACCAATCAACTGGAGCCAATCTCCTGGAGCTTCTGCTAAGCCTAGACAGTCCTGCAGTTGCAGCTGCCTCTCCCTCAAGCTTGCGTCGCTTCGGTTCATTCCCCTCCCCCTTTATACTTGGCTAGCAGTCACGTACCACCTGCCACATGGCAAAGTACCACAGATGGTATGCGTACCACCAGTTGAAAAGCCTGGATCTACATAACCTACATGAAGGGTTTCTAGCAGAATATAAGCCAGACATCACAAGAACCAGGAAAAATGTGTTTGGAAAATAACTCTCTTGGCTTATCTGAAACGCTTTAAACTAAAACTGGAAAGAAAGGAAAACCCATTTTTAGGACCCAGTCCCAAGTATAAACCTCAAAATATTGTAAACAATGAGATAAAGAGTGTTGGGAAGGAAGAGGAATACAGACATAAAAAAGGAAATATAGAAAGCATACACAAGGTCAGTCAAAAGGATTCAGATATCTATACACTAATGCTAAAAGTATGAGGAACAAACAGGGCAAACCTGAAGACCTAATACATGACAGCAAGTATGACATTCCTATCATTACTGAGACTTGGTGGAATGCAACCCATGACTGGAACCTACTGCTAGAAGAATTTAAATTGTTCAAAAGAAACATACCTAACAAAAGAGGAGAAGGAGTTGCATTATATGTAAGAAATAACTACACCTCTAGAAATTCAAAAAACCAAGGATAAAAATCTTGAATGCATTTGAATTAAGATAAAAGGAAAAAGGAATAACATTGTCATAGGTATATGCTATAGGCCACTCAACCAAATAGAGGAAATAGATGAACTTTTTGCTAATCAATTAGCTAAGTTTGTCTCCCAGTTAATGTCAGGGTAGTTAAAGTCCCTCATTACTACTGTGGTATGTTTGTGCATGAAACATATCACAGTAGCAATGAGGGACTTTAACTACCCTGACATTAACTGGGAGACCAACTGTGCATCATTTGGGAGATTAAATAAGTTCCTGACAAAGCTAGCAGATAACTTTGTCCTCCAAAAGGTAGAGGAGAAAACCAGAGGATCAGCTGTACTGGACTTAATTCTTACAAATAGGGATGAAATGATAGAGGAGGCTGAAGTTGCAGGAACTTTAGGGAAAGTGACCAGGTCATATTGGAATTCAATATATGGGTATGTCTAGTTTAATTAAATAAGAATGACATGATAGCAGTGTTCCACTATTTGAGGGGCAGTCACAAAGAAGAGGGAGCTAACCTATTCTCCAAAACACCTGAAGGCAGGACAAGAGGCAGTGGGTGGAAACTTATCAAAGAGAAATTCAACCTAGAATTAAGGAGAAACATCCTGACAATGAAAACAATTAACCAGTGGAATGACTTGACTTCATAAGTTGTAGATGCTGCAACACTGGAGATTTTTAAGAAGAGATTGGACAATGATTTGTCTGACATAGTATAGGGCATGGGTGTTAAAATCACTGCATCACATGATGTGTCACAATGTATCGCGACTTCTTTTGCATTGCCGGAGCTGGGGTGGGTGCGGCCTCCATATGATGCAACTGGCCCATGGGCCGGCAGTATAGGGACTCCTGCTTGAGCAGAGGGTTGAACAAGAAGACCTCCAAAGTCCCTTCCAACTCTGTTATTTTTCTGGATAAACATCTTTCAGAAAGTTCAAGGCTTAGAAAATAATCTTTCTAACTATATTTTAAAAAACTGAACAAATATTTGTGTGGCTGCTTTAGATTCTGTTTTTTGAGCACAGATTCTTCAATTTAATTATGCTTTTATATAACTGCAAATAAGCTGAGGCTAAAACATCATTTGGTGGAATCCACCACAGTCTAGCATGCTTTTCAAATATCTTGACAATACGTTACTTATTGTTCAAAAAGGAAACTATGAGTGCAAACTTGAAAATTCAGTGACAATGCAATTAAGTACCTCTCTCAAAAATGATGTTCAGGTGAGAGAAATCAAACAGAAACAATATGGAGATGAATCCTGTTAACTCTTATTGTCTTATATGACTTCCTTATGAAGAAACTGGGCCAAGATTATTTATATTGAAAATTAAATTATTATTTAATGGCACTTTACCAGATTCATCATGATCATGCTTCAAGTAAACAGGATCTATTTTAAAGGCACACGTTAAATCCGATCTCTTCTTCACCCTACACAGATATTGAATATAGATGGTCACTGCTTTACTTAAAAGTTTACGTATTTCTATGAAAAACTAAAAATAGAGTTATAAGTATAAATCAATGCAGATTAATAAATGGAGAAGTGTTAACTGGCGATTAAACTTTAATCTTTCCAATTCTACAATTCTATGAAATAAAAAGAATTGACTGCAAAGATTAATGAATTCATCAGTATTTAAGTCATATAAATGTACAAGCTCCTTCTCTGATAAATATTGAATTTAACAAATCTAAATAAGACATTACATCCTAACCATTAGCAAATGCTTTGTAATATACATCTTGTTTGCTTTCCTTTCTGGTACAGTCTGGGGATAGAGTAAAATACCATATAGAATCTGGATTAACACAGTGGGTGAGAATTTCTGCCAAAAATTGTAATTCTGTTTGTATAAGGCATTTTTTGGCTTAACATGAATGAGTCAGAATGAAATGCATATGGTCTCATGTTGTCTTGATTCCTTATGCTAGTGGAAACATATCAACAAAGTGTGGAAATTATTTCTTCCATCATAATGTGGGAACTAACCCTCTGGCTTGCTTTTCTAAGAAGAATGAATCTGAATTCATGCAATTCCTTCTTAAGAAGAGGCAACTTAGGGATCTTGGACTACATTGAATGACAAACAGCTTATTTTAAAGTTTGTCAAGTCACTTTTGACCTAAGGAACCAAGCAGAAGCAATCAATTGGTATGATCAGTAGACTAAACTAGAGTAATGGCACACAGATACTCCAGTTAAGTCTTCCTCCTACCATATTCCTTTAGAGAGAAATGTCATGTGATACCACTGTTAATAATTCTAGTATTTCCTACTTACCACATAGTAGAACAATCAAAGTTGACCAGGAGCCACTTATGAGGGTTGAAGTTGAATGAATCTGCATACTACAAAAAAGAAAACAGACCAACTATTATAGGATAAGTGTCCTGAAATAGTTTCCAGAATATCATTCTTTAAAATGCGACAAATATTGGTATGTTCAAAGACCTCTTTGAATTTCCAATTCAACCCACCTCAGAGGGCACTATTGTAGGGAAAATAGATGGAGGAAGGATTATTAGGTATGTTCACCAATTTGAGTTATGCATAAAAAAAATGAAGACCGTAGTAACAGTCTGCATTACTACATAAAGAGTATGTGCATTACCTACATGAATGGTCTGCATTACCTACATGGTCTGCATTACCTATATGAAAGGCTTATGGCAAGGGATGGGCTGCACATCACAAGAACCGGGAAGAATGTATTCGAAAAATGACTGATTCAACTTATTAGAAAGTTGAAACCAAAGTTTAAACTAAAATTGAGAGGGGGGGAAGGTAACCAATCCTTAGGATCTTTGGGACCTATTTCCAGCATGAACCCCAAGACAACCAATCAAACAATGAGGTAAGGAGTGATGGGAAGGAAGAAAAACTCAGATATAAAGTAGGAGATATAGGAAGCATACCCAGGGTCAGCTGTAAAGGACTCAAAATGCCTATGCACAAAAGCTCAAAGTTTGGGGAACTAACAAGGTGAACATCAAGTAGTAGTAGTACATGTGGGCAAGTATGATATAGTTGTCATTACCAAAATTTGCTGGGATGAAACCCCTGACCTAAATGTACTGATGGAAGGATACAAACTATTCAAAAGAAACAGACCTAATAAAAGAGGAAGTGGAGTTGCATTATATGTAAGAGATAACTACATCTCTACCAAAATACAGAAAAACAAGAATCAAAGCCTCCTAGAATGCATATGGGTCAATATAAAAGAAGAAAATGACATAGATATATATTACAGGCCACCCAACCAAGCAGAAGAAATACAGTAGACACAGTAGACAACCTTTTTTTTTAGTCATAAAATGTTTTATTAATTAATTTTTTTATCAACATATGTTAATTTAAGGTTAGTTGTTCAACAGACCTCAACGATACGATTATGTACAAGTTAAGGATTAGGAAGTAAGAAAAGAGATTGGTTCTTATTTTATTTAAGGTTTAAACTATCATCAGACATAGAAGAAATAGAAAGTTGGAGTATCAATTAGACAGGTAGAGACGTGTAAGGTTATAAAAGGACTAATAAAGAAGCTCCGATGGCAATCCTTCATTCTTCCAGTATTGTGCAAAAATTATTCTCGCTGCTGTAGTGATGTGTAAAATTAAATATAATTTCTGCTTAATAGTCTTTTCAGGCATAATGCCTAGTAAAAAAAAGTTCAGGTTTAAAATTCACTTGTTTGCCCAATATTTTTTCTAACCACATATGTATATTTTTCCAATAGGCCTTTGCCTTACCACATGTCCACCAAATGTGGTAATACATGCCTATGTTATGTTTACATTTCCAACATCTCTCTGACATATTTTTAAACATTTTTGCTAATCTTGCTGGTGGAAGGTGCCATCTATAAAACATTTTATACAGATTTTGTTTGTATGAAGTTGACATTGTTAATTTATAGTTTCTCTCCCATAACATTTGCCATTTTTCTAATTCTATATTATAACCAAAATTTTTTACCCATCTTATCATTGTTTCTTTCACTTGTTCACTTTCCATATCTAAAATTAACAAAAAGTTATACATTTTCTTAATTAATTTCTCATCCGAGATTAACAAAATCTTATCAAACACAGTTTGATCTTTGTAAAATCCATACATTTTTACATCTTTTTCATATCTACTTTGTATCTGTAAATGTGCCCACCAGGACAGGTTAATTCCCTGAATTTCCAATTCTTGTTTAGATTTTAATTTCCCATCAATATCTAAAATATCTTTATATGTCCATATTTTTTCAAAGTCTACCAAGTTTGGATGTATAAATGCCTCCATCGTTGATAACCACCCTGGAATTTTTGAATATATTTTAGCTTTAATTTTTTCCCATACTGTTAACAAGGCATTTCTTATAAAATGATTTTGAAAGTACTTATGGGCTCTGTTTTTCCCGTACCATAAGAAAGCATGCCACCCCAATTGTAAATCATGTCCCTCTAAATACAATAACCTTTTATTTCTGAGTGTTATCCACTCTTTCACCCATGTTAACACAGATGCTTTTTTTTTTTATAAACAAATTTTATTGATTTCCCCCCCCCCCCGAAATAAACTAACATACAATTATGGCATAAGTCAATAATACAATTAATAAAAAAAAACAAACTAAAAAAACCTCCCATTCTAAGATGCTCAGTAGCCTCACAGGAACACATTCCCTCTCTTCAACCTACTTCCCTCCTTCCTTCTACCTCCTTCCCTCCTCTCCACCTTCTCAACCACTCTACTCTACACATCCCCCCTCCTTCCCTCC